TTACTTTATCCCCCGGTTTCACAGACAAGGCTTAAGACTAGTCCCAGACTAAAATGTAAGTCTGAGCTGTTTAAACTGAAAGAAACTTGCACTGACAGAATTTAAAATATGTCAGGTTCATTGTGGTGTTTTTATCTAAGGCATGTTTATAAAAGCTATTTAAATGTCCTAATTGAACTATGGCCTAATCCTGGCTTAACCTAAGCCCTGTCTGCGAAACCGGACCATAATATTTTACCTGAATGCTGAAGAGTTGGAGTCACAGATGAAGTCAGAACATCTTTAAAAAACAATGTGAGACAATATGGAGGAACATTAAACAAAGGCCTGTTCACATTAAAAATCTGCATTAAGTTTGAAAATCTAGATCAGATCTAATCATTGGACACTGGATGTGTTTAATGTGTGATAACAGACATTTATCATACAGTTGAACTCACCTGAGTTTGGACTCACTGTAGTTTCATTCCACACTGAAAAACACAACAGAAATCTCCATTTAGTTTGAATCAGATCTACACTTTGAACACTGGATGTGTTTTGTGAAGACACGCATATATCATACAGTTGAACTCACTTGAGTTTAGAGTTGTTGTAGTTTCACTCCACACTGACAAAACACAATAAAAACAAAAATGTACACTTGAAGCACAAAAGCTTCTGTTAAACAGAGAATTTGAGCTGAATGAGGACAGAGTGATGTCTCTCACACCGTGTCTACACCTGATGCGACAGTTGTCGCGCCATGTCGCGCCGCAACAGCTAAAGTCTGTCTACGCTGGACGTGACAAAGCGACCACTGCAAATCATTTGAATTTTGTGTCAGTACATCATAAATGGAACGAGGCATCAGTTTACTCTTTGGGATTTGTCATGTCTCGACCTGCACTGCTCGCGTCCAATGTAAACACGGTGCAAACATTAAACATCATCTGTCCACCATAAACATCAGCTGTTTCTCTCACCTCTGAATAAGGTCTCGTATCTGAACTGTGATGAAACAAAGAAGCATTAGAGCATTATGTAGTGTTCATGAATGTTTGATTAAAGGGGTGGTTGATTATGATTTCACTTTTTGAACTTTAGTTAGTGTTAGTAACTTTGCAGATGTTGTTTATGTTCTAACAGCAACATTATGCTGTTAGAACATAAACAACATCTGCAAAGTTACGACGCTCCGAGTTCAATGCAAAGGGAGATATTTTCTTTAAGGACTACAAAAAACGGCTGGTAGGGACTACAGTGAGCTTGTTCCTGGGTTTGTGACATCACTAACCCCGAGGTTTCCATAAACCCCGCCCCCAGGAACACACAACTACCCGTAATGGTAAGGGGAGTGACGTTTCCGGACAACGTGTACTAGGCGGTTAGAGAGTCACACACACTGAGCCCGCTAACCAATCAGAGCCCATTGCGTAATTCTGAGGGAGGGCTTTCATAGAACCAGGAACTCAACAGACCGTTTTGAGGAGAATGGAAACAGCGGTGTATAATAAAGGTAAAATATGTGAAAATAATGAGTTTTTTTTAAACGAAGCATGAACACATGCTACACTGCACCCCATAAACACAAACAAGCTTTTGAAAAAAGCTGATTAACCACCCCTTTCACGTATGATTTAACTGTGTTTGTTTTTGACTGTCTTCATCTCTACTGCTAAGAGCATAATTGTCATTTCTGTGTGTTTCAATATGACAAGATGAATGTTGAGAGAGCGATTGAGTTGATTTACTCGATCATCAGCATCACAGATGATCTGATGGCTGAGATTCACACAGTGAGAAGTGAAGAGACGATCAGATTTTACAGCCGTCGCAGGATCAATCAGTATGTGAGGAACCTCTACATCTGCTATCAGACGCCCGTCCTGAAGAAATAAAACCCTATCAGATCATGTGTGTGTGTGTGTGTGTGTGTGTGAATAATTGTGTAGTTTGAGGACAGAAACACACTCACCTGTGAATACCAGAACCGCTCACAGTCACGATTATGGAATTGACCAAATCTATCAGCAGGAACTCTGTATTCATACCCATCTGTGGTCTGAATCTCTCTACACATCACACTGATGATATTCATGTTTCAATGCTGAAAAAAAGAGGAAATATTAAATAAATTTTTTTTTGAATTACTGTAGATTCACAATATGCATTTAAGAGTGAGTGGAAAATAAAAAAAATAACATTAAAAACTAAAAATATGTTTTGAAAGCTATGTCATGAATGAAAAATAACTGGTAATTGGGTTTATTTCTTCACAAAAAAAAGATCATATGACTTCAGAAGACTATAAGGGCATTATCCAGACCAGTCCAATCCAGACCAGATGGTAGGCCTGCACCCTGAGACGACCACAGCGCAGGCCTGATTGTCAGCGTAGACAACGATAACTAGACATCCATCGGCACAGATCTTCAATGAAGACCAGGAGAACCAGACGAGTCCTCTGCACAGACCCTGTGTCCTGCTTTAACTCTCCATATGTTGACGTGATGCATCCTGATATTCAAGCAGAAGGAACTGGATTAAATATTCTGAATGATATCACTCCACAGAAGCTGCTGGCACTTGCCGCTATTTAGTGGCACACGTGGCATGTGCCGATAGATGGATCAATTGCGGAACTTCTGCAGTTTACGTAGCCTACTGTGGAATGGATAGTTCAGCGGAGACATGTGCAATTAGGGTTTACTTATTGACGCATGAACCACCCCTTTAAATAATGTGACGCCTCTTTAAGTCTATGACCCTTCTCAATAAGAGCTGTTAGAATTGAATGACTAAATACGGATGTCTTAAATCTCTCAAAGTAATTAATTATCTCGTTTGCTCCTTTTGTTTACCTGTCCTTATAAGCCTTCCGTTTCAGTCTACTCTTTGTCCTGGATTGATGTTTATTTAATGGAATACGTGTGTTGATGTTAATGAGTTCTCCTGGTTATTCTCCTGTCCTTTGTTTTGAAGTTAGAATTAAAGACTATTTATATTTACTCCATCGTCATGCGCTTTACTACAACCACGTCCCGTGACAATACTATAAGTATTACCATGACAATTTGTTTTCTGTTTACTGGTCTTACTGCAGTTAGTGCTGACTTCTGAGTTTCAGGTAATGTTGGACTGCAGGTGTTTAATGTGCAGATTGTATGCTAAAGTGGTGCAGCTGTTTACAGTGTGGTTAATTTTGTCTTTGATTCTGTTTTTGTTCTTATTTTTTTCTGACATATTGGTGTTATATCTTTCACTTGGATGTTATAAGTTACACTGAGTAAATACAGCTGGATGAAACAAAAACTGTGTCCGTCTTCATTTCAGGCTGCAAAGCAACAAAATGTGATTATTTTAAAGGGGGCTGATTCTGTTCTATACCCACTGTATATTGTAACTAAAAAAAATAAAAGATTGGAAATAAAAAGTCTTCTTAATTACATAATTACAAAAATAAAGTAAATAATAATAAAATTATTTGCACTGCAGATACATTTTCTTTCTTTTTAATAAATCTTATTTGTTTGCTCTCTGTTCTGCTGTCTTTGTTTGTGTGTCTAATTTTTTTTGTTACATAATTTGTCAAAAAAGTCAGTTACAATGCAGACAACACACAACAACTGAAGGGGTGACACCACAGCACATCCACAGTGGAGGGAAACCCCACCCCCCAATACCCATAAAACCCACTCATAAAGACATGAAAAAGTGACATAACAT